CTACTGCATATATCAAATGATTCTTAAAAGTATTATTGAGTTTCTTAAACTGTTAACTTTTATTGATGGGCACACAGCACTGGGCTTGGCTCAGAGAACTTTGGAAAAAAATAGAACACGTGGTCCTTGCCCTGAAGAGCTTATGTGTGGGAAAAACACATGAAACAACTAGAGAAAAATACTCTAGAAAATTATTACGTGCACATAGAAATGACCAGAGAACAATTATTCTACGAAGATTTTGAATACACACGAAATGCATTCGAAACAATCGATTCTAAAGGAACGGCAGGGACCCAGCCCACATTGTCCTAGCAGGAACAGCAGCATCAATATCGTGTTCCAGGAGCACCAGGCATGTGTGATGAGTGTAGACTATAAATAGTTACTGACAGATAGTTTACAGTATATACTGGACTTCACTTGAGCAAGATGATGCTGATGGAATAAGGGAACATAAGCATACATAAACAGAACACGAACATTATGTATAAACAGAAGCAAATATAATCTTGCGCAGGCGGTGGAATTGAGAGAGAAGCCACTCCTTCCATAGAAAGGCAGGATGGTATGGTAAAAAGAATATAAGCTTTGGTTTCACATCACTGGGATTCAAATCCTAGCTCTTTCACTTACTGCATGAAACAGAGCACACTGTCCTAACCTCTGGAGCCCTGGTGGAGCAATGAATGGTTAAGAGCTTGGCTGCTAACCAAAAGGTTGGCAGCTGAAATCCACCATCAGCTCCTTGGAAACCCTACAGGGCAGTTCTACTCTGTCCTATAGGGTCACTACGAGTCAGTTGGAATTGAATCCACGGCAATGGTTTGGTTTTTTAGTTTGGGTATCTAACCTCTGCATGCCTCATTTTCCCCACCTCTGCTATAGCTATGGGCTATTAGCTTGTGCAGTTGTTATTAGTATTAAATCTGATGCTATCTAAAGCATCTAGCAGAAGTAGGCATTCAACAAGTTGTACTGGTCTTTATGTATCTGTTCAAACATTGCACTGGGCTATTGCTGTTTCTGCGTCTGTCTCCCCCAATAGACTGTGAAGCTTCTCACAAAAGGGATTGTGTCTTAATGGTCTCGGTATTTCAAGTGCCTAATACAGTGTTTGACCCATGTAGGTTCCCAATAAGTGTTGAAATAGTAAGAATCATGAAAACTGTATATATAGATAATCATAATGGCTTAATTTAACTGAGCACTTACTTTGTGCCAGTCTCTGTACTAGGAGCACTTCATGGATCACCTTATTTAATCCTCACAACAATCCTTTGAAGGTAGGTCAGAGCATCCCATACAAATGATGAGGATATTGAGGCTTAGAAACCTGCCCAAGCTTATAGGCTAATGAGTGAATAGTGGAGTCCAGGCCTGAGCCCGGCTGTCAGCCTCCAGGAACTACACTTAACCAGCAAAGTGGAGAACAGGCTCTCACTCCCTCTCGCTCTTGTATTAGCTGAGGAAATTTCCATGAACCAATAGGAGTTTCAGAAGCTGTCTGAGTACCAAAAAGGGAGAGAAATTGTGAGAGGAGCAAGCATTCCAGGCTAGGCAACAGCTTCAGAGACAGCTCTGATGTGTGACAGAGGAAGGGATGGCGGATTCTGAATCATGAGGGTCTGAGGCGCAAGCAGAGAAAGGCCATGCCGAGCTCGGGTTCTCCCTATTCCACAGGGCACTGGATTAAGGGACAGGGGAGCCCAGAGCCTTGATGTGGAGCTCTCAGCAGCTGAAAGGCAGCGCTGAGGCCCAGAAGGCCAGCGACGGATCGTGCAAGAGTTGGGGCTAGGAAGAGCATGGGGCAGAGTCAGGAAGAGCTTTCTGGGAGGGGTAGGGGGGACTCAGCCCTCTGCAATTCCAGGAAAGAGCTGAAGGAAGAGCCATCAGATTCAGCGACAGACTGCAGACAGCATTACTCACTCTTTAACAAGAGAAAAAAAAAGTAGCAATAAAGAGGCCACTTAATGTAGTATGTAAGAATGGGGTCTCTGGTCAGAAGAACTAGATGGTTCCAGGCTACCACTATTGACCGTTCTAATCAGGGCCATAATAGATGGACCCTGATACTATGGGAGAAAAATGTGGAACAGAACCTCAATTCCTAAAAAACAAAACAAAAAACACACCTGCTGGTTGAGACTGGAGGACTCCCTGAGACTACTGCCCTGAGATATTCTTCAAACCTTGAACTGAAACTAACCCCTGACGTTACCTCTTAGCTAAATAACAGATTGGCTCACTACATAATGAATATCACCCTTAAGTACCGTGCTCCTTTAAAAATTAATCTATGTGAGACCAAAGAGTCAACAATTACTTTAAAAAAAAGATAAGAATGTAAGGGGACAGGGAAACTAGAATAATGAAAACGAAACAACCAGAACAGAAATAATGAGAATGTTCATGCGTTGTGAAGAATGTAACCAGTTTCACTGAACAATGTGTGCAGAAATGGTTGAATGGGAAACTAAAACTGCTCTGTAAACCTTCAATGAAAACACAATAAAATATTATTAAAAAAAAAAAAGTGTAGGGTCTTTGGGACTGAACTACCTTGGGGCATGTGCAGGCTCCCAACTGTGTGACCTTAGCAAAGTGATTAAACCACCC